TCAGTTAGTTCATGGGATTCAGGTGTAGGAATACGAACCAGCTACAGAGCTGTTCAATCTAAGAAGCTAGAATGAAGTATAGCAAAGAATCGAAATGCTTTGAGATGTCTCGAAGACATGATAAAGCACTATATCAAATGCAAGGATTATTATTATTATATATCCATCTTTGTTCACCATGGGGAGGAATTTCACATGATTCTAGATTTTCTTCGCATTTCAGAATGTCAGAAGTTGGTAAATTGTCGAATTCAGTGTTAACTTCAAAGCTGCTATTTTGTAGTTCCTACAAGAAAAACAGTTTCAAAATGAAGACCATATTTAAGAATTTGCGAGATTCGGCAAGCTCTGAAATGCTGAATTAAGAGAATCAATCGAGAGCCAAGTCAAATTTCCGCCCCCAAGTACTGCATTCAAAATCTCATGGCAAACCCGAGTCTAAAGTGACCTGCTACTTTGGTTTACTGATTCTCGAAGGGCATAACAAAGATGGGAAACTTTCCCATAGTAATCAAAAACTCACATCCTGACTGCTCCATGGTACAATGGATTTGGCAATTGATATCCAACCACCATTATATTTTTAAACAGTCCTCTCCTGTAACAGACTTTTATTATAATTCTTTTCTGTTTGTCATTCCTCTTCTTTCTCTCGCGTGCCAATTTCCACAAGAAATAAAGAACTTTTTTAAGGTCCTTCTGCTCACTCTTTTTCCCCTCCTTTTCTTTTAAAGGCATTGGATGCTCGTCACTTCCTAATTAGCCTGACTCCGTTGGTGGAACTCTTGCCTCTGAATCAGAATGTTGTGAGTTCAAACCTTACATCAGGATTTTAAACTCGATTCAAACACTTCAATGCAGTGATGATGGGGGTGCCTCATTGTTGGTGCTGTTCTTCGGATGAGACATTAAACTGAGATCCCGTCTCCCTGCGACATTAAACCCATCTACCTGTTCAGGTGGACGTTAAAGATCCCATGGCACTATTTGTAAAGAGAAGGGAGTTTCTCCTGCTGTCCTGGCCAACAATTCTCCAAATAAAATTGGTCAATCATTTCATGGCTGTTTATGGGACATTGCTCTGCACAACTGTGCAGCCACATTTTCCTACAAATACACAGTCACTTCATCCTGTATAGCACTTTGAGATTTCTTTCCGATGTGATAAGATGCTATGCCAAATGCAGGGTTTATTATATAATAAGGATTATTATATCAAGGGCAAGGATTATTTTATTTTACTAAGGTAGAGTTCCACAAATGCCAGGCAGCCTCCAGCACTGTACACAATTGTCCATTATTCATGTACATGCCTTGACAATGAGGGTCGGCAGGATATTCGATTGCTAGAACTTCAAAGAAGAACATCTGCCAAGTTCTTTACTGAAAGGAGTCAAACAAAGTATTCGCTATTTCTGGTATGTGATTTCACATTAAAGACAAAAATAGACAAGTGCACTGGAAATTCAAGAGAATGGGGCACAGGAGAGGAGAAAAGCAGTAGGGACTAAACCATTACTTTCAGGTACCATCCTGCTTCCCATATTTGAATTCTATGGTAAGACACGCCAGTAAAAGGTGTCGAAGATAGCAATATGATAATAATAATCCTTACAGTTAATATTTATCATATCATATCGTATTATTGAGACATCTCAAGGCGCTTCACAGGATATACTATACAGTGATGCAACTGTGTGTAATTGTGTGAACAAGGCAACCAATTTGCACACAGCAATGTTCCACACACAGCCAAGAGAGAATGCCCGATTTTATTTGAGGGATTGTTGGCCAGGACACCGATAGAAACTCCCTTCTCTTTCAAATAGGGTCAAGGGATCTTTAACGATCTTTAAGTTCCATACCAAACTTTGTGGGAGTTAGACAAGTTGAGTACAGGATACTCTCCCCTCCAAACTGAACTTCATTTCTGCAGTATCACCCGCCTGTTTTAGGATTCAGTTTTGCAGCACATGCACAGAGGGCAGTGGCATAATAAGAGGCTGAGCCTCAGAGCTTTAAGAAGTGCTGTCTAATTTTCTTCCATATTTAAAGTTGATTCAACATTCTCCCTTAGACAAAGCCTAAGGAGGTTTTAGCTTCAAATGCTCTCATCTTCCTCTGAGACAACTATTATTACTGGAACAAAATTGATTTTGAATACCTTCAAACTATTGTTTTCTTTTATTTAAAACTTACTTGATAATAGTGCGAAAAGTTAAACATTCATGATTTATTTTATGATTATAATAATCCTTGCATTTGATACAGTGCAAGTGCTTGACAAGATTGTTGCTGCGAAGTGTAGAGACGGTGTATTTGTAGGTGAATGCGGTAGTCAATGTGCAGACAACAAAGTCCCACAAACAGCCATGAAGTGAACGATCAACTTTATTTTCTATTTAGACCCTATACAGTGTTAAAATTAATATTTGGATTCGTTAGCCTGACACCTGTAAATATTTTTTTTTGGGTGGTGGTGGGGGGAAATGTTAATATCAAGTTCACAATACAATAATAATGATAATAATGCAATGCTGTGATATACAGTACTTTGAAATAGTCAGTAACTGCAGGTTGCTGATCGCAGTGGCAATGCACAGCTCACAGGCTCGTATCCCGGAGTTTTCCACGTCTGCTAGTTTTCCTATTGCAGATGTGGGTCGATCTCACAGCATTAACGTGGCTGTGGCTCAGTTAAAAAAAAAAGGTTGTGAGAAGAACTGAGTTGAGCAAATACCCTGATATTAACCCAGGACAGACCGACTGCATGGACCTGTTTTGCTGAGGTTACAGCCTGGATCCTCAGTAGCGATCTGCAATCCCAATTTTCCTTATTGAGAGTTTAAATGCTCCTTTCAGAGAACTTCCTTGTGGAATCGTTTCTCTCTATATTCCCCAGAGGAGTCTGAGTGAAGTTTAATTGATAACATTCAGTTGGAGGGGTTGAGATAAACTCAGCTGTCAGACAAAGAGGCAATAAAACCCCAGGGCTGAAACATTCCATGGTCCAGGGTGATTTACAAGCTGTGGGGACTGGAGGAGCAGTGGGAACTTTACAGGAAGAAACGACCATCAGCCACATCAGATCAAAGCCATGTCAAATCCAAAATCACTCTCATGCTTAAATCCAAATAGTTTCAGACACACAGTGTGTTCAGAGATTGATCTTTCAAGTGGCTATTGAAATGTGCGATCGCTCACGTTTGGCAATGCTTTTTCTTTAAAAAAAAACAGTTTGCAAATAAGACAATTTAATAATAATAATCCTATAATCCTTGCATTTGATATAGCGCTTTTCACGTCGGGAGGACGTCCCAAAGCGCTTCACAGAACACACTGTAAAGTGAATTGACTGTATATTTGTGGGCGAACGCGGCAGCCAATTGCGCACAGCAATGTCCCACAAACAGTCGTAGATTGAAAATGACCAATTTAATTATTGTTTTTTGGTTTTTTGGAGGGATTATTATTAGGCGTGTGGAGTAAGGAAACTTGCCCAAGGTTTCGCCCTGCCTGGAATTGAACTCAGGTCTCTCACTTGCAAAGCGAGTGCTCTAACCACTGAGCTACAGGACTCCACTTGTTTTTTTAACCAAGTTATCACAATAATAATAATAATAATAATAATAATAATAGTGCTTTCAAATTCAAATTAGATGTTAAAATGGTAGAGAAACCAATCTGACTGCCTTGGCTCGAGTCCTGCCAACTCTTTGCTGATTTCAGTTTTCACAATAACAAGTTTGACATTGCATTAATTTAAAATATTGTCTAACAAACGCTTGGTTTGTTATCTCCTTCTGCACTGCAGTTGAGGGGAGGCACAGGATCCGAACTCCACTGTGGAGTACACAGCTAAAGTGTTTCTTTTGAAATAGTGGAAATTCTCTGGACAGCTTGGATGGATAAATACAACACTGACCCTAAACCTGTACAGTCAGCATCTCAGCCTCTCAGGGTTGAGTGTGAGTGAGTGAGTGAGTGAGTATGAGTGAGTGTGTGGGTGAGTATGAGTGTGTGTGTGTGAGTGAGTGAGTGAGTGAGTGAGTGAGAGTGTGTGTGTGTGAGTGAGTGAGTGAGTATGAGTGAGTGAGTGAGTGAGTGAGTGAGTGTGTGGGTGAGTATGAGTGTGTGTGTGAGTGAGTGAGTGAGTGAGTATGAGTGAGTGTGTGGGTGAGTATGAGTGTGTGTGTGTGAGTGAGTGAGTGTGTGTGTGAGTGAGTGAGTGAGTGAGTGAGTGAGTGAGTGAGTGAGTGAGTGAGTGAGTGAGTGAGTATGAGTGAGTGTGTGGGTGAGTATGAGTGTGAGTGAGTGAGTGAGTGAATGAGTATGAGTGAGTGAGTGAGTGAGTGAGTGAGTGAGTGAGTGAGTGAAGCAGCTGAAAACCTTTCCCAATTCAAGTCCGGCTCAATGCTGCTTTTGGTGTAGCAGTTCACAAGTTGACACATCACCCACCAAATCCGAACTCCTCTCCCAGCCTCCCGTTAAACCGGGTGTCAACGGCATTGGATCGGGGGAGAGGGGGTAAATTTAAAATAAAAATTGTTACCGTCTTTTATTGATTTCACTATGCAATCCATTCGTTTGCAAACACTATATTCCTAAGGGCAGAATCGGTTTGTGGATCACACGTTTTGCAACAAGTGTTGCTGTAGAACTGAAGGATGCATTCGGTTTACACACACACACACACGTACACACACACACACAGACAGACAGACAGACAGATGGCAAGTAAGTTAATTGATCGCACGTTTTGCAATTAATAAATAAGTAAGTAAATAAATAACGTTTGGCAGTGCTGCTGCCTTAAACAGTTGGAAAAATAAAAATTAACAAATTTGGAAATTGCCAACAAAGACGCCGGAAAAAAAAAGTCTGGTTGTTTAATGCTTAAATAAATGAATGCTATATTTAAATACTTTATTGATACTCATATCCAGTTAGGAGAGGCTGGAGCCTTGGCACCTTGTCCTGCTGTGTGCTTCTCTCCCTACCTTTCTGCGGTGCTACAGTGAGGAGGATGGCGAGGAGGGTGGCGGCTGCTGTGGCTCTGGTCATGGTGTCGAGGTGCAGGTCTGGATGCCGCTGACAGTAAGGTTTGAGGCTGACAAGTCCTGGGGTGAGGTCTGTGCCCTCCTCAGATCCCTCTCACACACACACACACACAGTGAAACCCATGCACACACAAACCAGCTGATGCTCACTGTGCTCCAGTACCTCTCCTCCTCTCTCTCTCTCTCACTCACTCACTCTCACTCTCTCTCTCTCTCTCAGCCACTTGTCTCCCCCCTCCGACAGACAGTGGGAGCGCTTCAGAGCCGACATCCCCTCTCTGTGCACACACATCTGTCAGTCTGTGTGCCACTGAACCATCTCCATCTCCACCCACACCCCCACTCCCACTCCCACCCCGTGCCGATGGGGAAGATCACCAGCTATCACTGCAGATTCACATCATTTATTCCCACCTGCAGCATTGGCTGGAGAGCTGGTCCTTAAAGTGACTAATAATAATAATAATAATAATAATAATAATTCCTTGCATTTGATATAGCGTCTTATATCACTTTGTTGAGACGTCTCAAAGCGCTTCTCGGGATATGCTGTAAAGTAGTTTTGACTGTGTGTTTTGCGGGCGATCGGTTCAGCCGTGAATTTTACCTGAGGGATTGCTGGATTGCTGGCCAGGAGATCCCGCCACCCCGCCCTTCTCTTTTTGAATAGTGCTGGAGAATCTTCAACATCCACCCTGAACGATGACATATTTATAACAAATGTGAGATTTCTTTCTTTACAAAAATAACAATCATAATACAAGTCCAGTCGGCAAAGCCCGGGATCAAGCAATGAGGTGGATTTGTGGCAAACGGGAAGCGGCTACAGGGAGGGAGACCTCCGGTCCTCACTGACCTGTTGCTAAGCTCCCTGGAGGCGGAGGTGGCTTCACAGTGGGCACATCTATTTGCCAAGGCCCCTCGCATGAGGGCCTGGATTGAGAAGCTGGTGCTGAGTAAGCCTGGTACACAGCACTGGACTTGAGAACATCAAAGACACTGGCACATTACAAGCTGTTCTGTAAATGTCTGCCCACCACGCTGTAGGCAGATGCCCCCCCAGATAGCTAATGAGTAAACTCTGAGGCTTGGCGCAACAGCGCAGGCGTTACCTGGAGTCCGAGTTCATAAACACACGTTTGTCCATCCAGGGCCTGAAGTCCACCTTAATTGGCCTACAGAAAGGCAAGCGGCTGCTGCTTAAACTCCGCACCACCAATTGGTAGAACCATCGCTCAAAGGGAAGGTGTGCCCGAGCTGCGGACAGGAAGATGATGGCAATGCTCTCGCACATTTCATGCTACGATGTGTTGCCCAATGGGAAGAAAATACATTGTAAAGAATAATTCACTCAAATCAATTGTAACTGATTCACATCAGATTCCACAGTTTTCAGCATTTGCTGAAAATATTTATTTCAGGTCTTTGAAGAGCAAGAAACACAGAAGATCAAAAATAAGCCTCACCAGGAATTCTGCTGTCTGCTGTTCAGTCAATGTTTATTTTCAATTTACAAGCTCCACTGATGTTTTTAGACTTATAGTTCAAACTGTTTTAATACAAGCTGTCTTTCCATATAGAATACTAATGCAAAGTCCCAGGTGACTTCCATTGCTATTAACATCAAATAGCAGCATGTCCTCATGAGTTTAATATTGACACGTCTCCAGTAATAAGTAATAATCATCACATTGGCATACCATCTATAAACATCATAAACTTCACAGGTAGCAGGAAAAAGTAAAATGTAATGATTATAACTCTCAAGTGTAGTGACTTTCTTATATAAAAGGGGATTAGAAGTCTTCCACCGCCCCACATTGTGGGGGGAGACCCCCAGTAAAATGTAAAGGTGCTGGATATGTGTTTGTTTCCACCCCAGGATTGGAAGTTCTAAGGATGTGCTTGAACTGAGATGATTACCAAATGAGCCAAACCGATGGAAGGTATATTAGAGGAATAACATAGACATTTCCCAAGTTACTTGCTCATGAAGACATTATCCGAATCAATTTCAAGATCCTCACACTCGTCTTCAAATCCCTTTATGCCCCGGCACCTCCCTACCTCTTCGACCTGCTTACTCCCCAACCCTCTACCCGCTGCCACCGCTCGACTGGCTCCAGCCTCCTGTATGTCCCTCGTGCCCTCTGTTCCACCGTGGAACAGCCTCTACGCCCTGGAACTCTGGAACACTCTTCCTCTATCTCTCCACCTTGCCCACTCCTTCTCCGTCTTCAGGTTGCACCTGAAGACCTTCCTCTTCGATCTGGCTTGGGGTTGTACTCCACTACTGTCAAGCGCTCTGGGAATCTACTCTGCGTGAGGGGTGCTAATTAAATGCAACTTGTTGTTCAAAGGGGGTTTGAGATCAACCTGGAACTGTTGGACCCCGGAAAGATACACCAGTCAGTAAGCCAGCAGATATCATTTTCAGTCAAACAGCTGTTGATTTCCCTTGAACTGCTTTGAGATACTGGCCTCCATTAGGTCAGTTGATTGTTATTGGAGAGAAACTGCACCCCAAATCTCAGTCTCTGCGGGCTGAGAAATGGAGGATGGTTGCCAGATTTTTATTTTTTTGTGAGTAACTTTGAATAATTTGCACTTTGAACGGAAAGTAATCCCCAACTCTCTTTTTCCTTCACTCAGACTTTCGCTTTCATTTATTCCAGCCAATATTTTTTCAATGTTAATGTTCCTTTGATTTTCCAGAGGTTCTGTTGCAGAGCCCAAATGAGCTCTCAATGACTGAAAATAAAGGGGAGCGGCTTCAGCAGTTACATCATGCTGGAGAAATGAGAATGTATCCCACTGAGACTGCTGAAAAGGCATGCGTGGAAAGTATTTATGTGACTTCATATTATACTCTTGATGCCAGCATTAAACTGCATCAATATTTTTCATATGAAGTGAGAAAACGTCATGTAGTTTTAAACACAGCAATGACAGCAATCCCCCCGTGAAGCGCTATGAGACATTTTAGCATTATAAACACGCTAATAAATGCAAAAAATATTCAGGATTAATTTTCAGTCTTGGAAATCTGCATATCATGCTGCTTATGCCTTTTCTACAATACTGCAATGGATAAATAGAGTCATGGCTCCTGCAGAAACAATTCATAATCATCCTTATATTTGATATAGCGCTTTTCGCACAAACAGGGTGGGTGGAATAATACTACTATTTGGATCTATTGTCATCAAAATACATTATTAAGGACATAAAACTTTGACTGGAGAATTCCTGGAAATATGTATTATATTTTAAAGGAAATATCTTACAATAAATTTATAAAGATATATAATAGAACAATTATGTATGATCACCAATGTGTATTTGCATGTGTGCGCAGATGTTTTCCTGAGTGTGAAGGGTGGAGGGTAGGGGGGAATGCAGGGTGATTGAAAGAACGGTTGAAGAAGAGGATCTTGAGATGGGTCCCGAAGGAGGCAAGGGAGGGGGTGAGGCGGAGGGACTGCGGAATGGAATGCTAGAGGGTGGTGGCAGAGTGGCAGAAGGTCCGCCTGCCAATGGTGGGGTGGGTGAGGCGGGGATTTGAAGCAGGCCAGAGCCCGCTGAGTGGAGGGAGCGAGCAGGATGGTAGGGGGTTATGAGGTCGCAGAGGTGGGGGGAGCAAGGCCATGGAGGGCTTTGAAGGTGAGGACCAGGATCTTGAACTGTAGCCTCTGTGAGGTGTATGAGAGATAGTAGATTTGTTTTTTTTTACTTTGGGAGCCGTCATAGTCTCATTGTTGATTCTGTAAGCAACATATTTCATTCTTCAATGTAAAATGCTGTTCTTTTTGTATAACTCCTCTTACTTTCTACCTTTTGCTCCTGAAGATGTTTTTTCATCGTATTCAGGTATAGTTCCCCAGGTGTTGGGAACCCTCCAATACCTCACTTAAATGCCTGTTCAAATGCCTGACTTGTAAACCAAGTCAAATCCTTTTTCACCTGATGTCTGTACAAGTACACCTTCCAGTAAATCATTGGATAACTGATAGGAGTGCAGATCCTGTCAGATATTCCACTGCGTATCACAGGGGCGATGAGGCCTCTTATAACACTACTTCTGCTGTACCAGCTGGGCTCGTCTACAAATGCACTGTCTACTCAAAGTTGATTCTGTAAGTGAAATCGTGCCCTTTACAATAAAATTGCTAAGGAACTATATGACAATATTTATTATCTGCTAACTCAGTGCAGACATCTGAACCTGCGACTTGCTATATTGTATGGCCCAGTGCTGCCTTTACTCACCAGGCCTATACACTCTGCCCTCAGGTGCCCAAGACCTAACAATAACTCTACATGAAGCAATTTGAAGTTGGATTTGCATGGACTTATAATACTAATGCTTTACATTTGATGTAGTGCCTTTTCACATTGTCGAGACTCCTCAAAACGATTCACAGGATACGCTGTAAAGTGGAGTGACCGTGTTATTGTGGGCAAACAGATTTCCCACAAGAGTGAAGATAAATAGATAAAGAAACAATAAAATGTTGTTCACAGCTAAGTCAACATGTAAGAAATGTGAGCCAACAGATTAATCGCTGCTTTCCTTATTAATGCTGTTTGGAGTTTCAGATTCAAACATCAATTTTGTTTGTTTCTGGCACTTGTTCAATTCCCACGAAGGTGATAAAAGTGGTGTCACACAAGCATAACAGCAACGGGATTCTTAAAGGGCTGTGCTTAATCCTTTCTAGGCCACAGCCTGCAATCTGAGTCACAGCCTAATCCAGGGCATTTTTTACAGAATTTTCACCAGCAGGGACTGAACTCAAATGGGCACTTTCATCTCACTTTTATCCAGAAACATTAAAAACACATTTCTACAGATGAAGCAAAGCTTCATGTATTTGTTTCAAATCTTAGAATGATTAAAATAAGATGAAAGCAGGAATCTAATCAGTAATAAGCATACAATGTCATTAATTATCAAATAATATTCTGTCAAATTCTGTAAAAACTGCCTAAATGGTGAATGCTTGGCGACTGCCAAAGAAAGCTCCATTTCCATTATGATCATGATCATGAGTATAATTATTGTGATTATTATTCTTATTATCATTAACATCATTATTATCATTTTAATTATTATTATCATTATTATTATTAAAGAGCAATTTGCTGGTGGAGAATTTTAAATTACTGCTAGGGAATTCCTAGGGGCTAGTGGGGATTTTTCCCACTACCTTTATATGTTAAAATGTACCATGGCCTAATCAGCAGAAACAACTGTTACCGTGACTTTTGCAGAGGGG